ATCACGAGCGAAAGGCCAATCACAACAATGAGGAGGTGCCCCTCTACATCCATTGGAATGGCTATTAAACAAAATGGAGCCAATACGGGTGAGAGTGTGGAGAGAGTGGAACCCTCGTGCATCACTGATGGAAACGTAAAATGGCGCGGCCACTGTGGAAACAAGCTTGGGAATTCTCTAAGAGTTAAAAATAGAATTATTACATGATCCAGCAATTCCACTCCTAGCTAACAGACCCAAAAGATTTGAAAACAGCGACTCAAACAAATACTCGCACACCAGCGTTCATGGCAACATTATTCACCATAGCTAAAAAAGTGCAAGCAACCCAAGCATTCATTTAGACAAATGGATAAACCAAATGTGGTGTCTATAAAGGACACAACTCATCCATGAAAGGGAAGAAATTCTGATACATGCTAGAACATGGATGGACCTTGAAAACAGCATGCTAAGTGAAATAAACCAGACACAAAGGACAAAGAGGGTAGCACTCCACTTACATGAGGTCCCTAGAATACGCAAATTCATAGAGACAGAAAGTAGACTAGAGGTTACAGGGGCTGGGAAGAGAGGGGAACGTGGCGTTGTTGTCTAATGGGTACAGTTACTCCTAGGGATGATGAAAAATGCTCTGATAGTGGGTGATGATGATAGCTGCACAACATTGTGAATATGCTCACCGCCCCCCTGAAGTGTACTCTTAACAATGCTAAATTTTATGTAGTGCATATTTGACCACAATAAAAAAAAAAAAAGCAAACCAAACAAACAAATAAACAAACCATCACCACTGGGAAAACAGACGGGAGAGAGGTGACTGTGCAATCAGGGGAGCTGGGCCGCAGACAGAACGGCACCGATTTGCAGGGGAGAAATCACAGACCAGAGAGAACCCGAGAAAATAGCTGCCTGATGGCTTCCCGGTCACATGAGGCCCAGCTGTGCTGGCTGAGCTTCATTTTGGTGAGACCCACCCACATGCTTTCCGTGAATCGCCTCAGACTGGAGCTGGACTGAGTGGGCCTTTGTTCCTTGCAAGGAAACAATCCCTGATGAAGGCAGGGAACAGCTGGGATCCAGTGAGGCAGCAGCCTGGGCACTAAACGCTGGAGGTTCCTAAAGCCAGACGCAGCTCCAGGAGGGCAGAGAAACTGCTTTTCCGTCCTCTCAGGGCTTAGCACCGGGCCTGCTGCGGGGTGACAGGCCTCCACTAAATGGTTATCGGGTGAGCACCGAGAAGCCCTCTGTGAGCCTTCTCATAAAGGTCTGAGCTTCCACGTTCTCGCTCACCAAGTGTACGCCCAATTTAAATCAAGCCAACTGAGCCCCGAAACCTATCCTCACTGTCAATGTGAACAGCCAATCTTGGTTCTTCACAAGGACTTCCACCTCATTCGGTCAAGGTCAAAAGAAGTCTATGCAAAAATTTCAATTTTACAGGCTGCTGGCCACCCTTTTACCAACTTTGAGTTTCAGGATGCCCACGATTTATTGAGTTTCCAACAACACTCATCAACCCGAGTGTGTTAAAAAAAAAAAAAAAAAATTAACCTTATTTTCTCATGACCAGAGAATCCATAAAACGGTTACTAATTTAATCACGCCTGTTGGTCAGAGGACAGCAAATGTCTCCTTCCTTAAAACACTGGGGTCAGAATTTCAAGAGATCCTGAGAGGGCAAAAATGGAACTTGGCTCATTTCACTCGTCTCCACCATGCCAATCACCAGCGCCTGTCATTTCTGACAAGGGAAGAGTCGACACAACCTAATTGCACAAAAGGAGGGGAGCTGGCACCCAGAGAATCTACGGCAATGTTGGCTACCACATGATTAAAAGGGTAACTTGAAGACTATATAACAAGAAGACATCTACAGGGGCACCTGGGTGGCTCAGCTGGTTGAGCGTGCGACTTCGGCTAGCGTCATGATCTCAGAGTTTGTGGGTTCAAGCCCCACATCAAGGCTCTGTGCTGACAGCTCAGAGCCTGTAGCCTGCTTTGGATTCTGTGTCTCTTTCTCTGCCCCTCCTCCACTCACGCTCTGTCTCTGTCTTTCAAAAATGAATAAACGTTAAAAAAAAAAAAGACATTTACAAAATATAGCTAAATGAAAAAAAGAGAGAAATGTGAAATTATACATATAATTTGATTATGACTATGTGGGAATGAGGTGAGTAGCTCTAAAGACTGGAAGGTACCCAAAGGAGATGAAAAAAGGGGCTGCAGGGCAGAGGAATGACACATGGTTTTTTTAATGCTTATTTATTTATTATGAGAGAGAGAGAGAGAGAATGCATGCAAGTGAAAGAGGGGCAGAGAGAGGGACAGAGAAAACCTTAAGCAGTGTCCGTGCTGTGAGTGTAGAACGCGACATGGGGCTTGAACTCACAAACCTCAAGATTATGACCTGAGCCCAAATCAACTCCGATGCTTAACCAAGTGAACCACCTAATTCCCATTATTGGAATTTTTAAATGTATTTAAAATTTACTTTATAATATTCAAAAAGTCAACTACACACACACACACACACACACACACACACACGCACACTCATGGCTCCAGAGTAAAAACCTGAACAAATGGAAGGAAGAATTTTAGCCAGTGAGCTGCCTCATCAGGCTGGGGATGACGATGCCTAGTCTAGGGCTCACCAAGGCAGGGTTTCTTCAAGCGTGATCCTGGGACTGGCAACATCACCATCCTCTGGGAACTTGCTAGAAATGCACATTTTGGGTTAACCCCAGACCTACTGGATTGGAAATTCTGGGGATGGGGCCCAGCAGCCCGTTGTGATAAACTCTCCATGTGATGCAGGTGGCTGCTCAAGTTTGAGAACCACTACACTCAAGTACCTCCCCAACCTGACAGTGTGTGGTTCCCACAAGTCTACAAAGGGTCATCTTTGGGGGGGGTCTTGGAGATCAGTTAAGTGTCTGACTTCAGCTCAGGTCATGATCTCACAGCTCATGAGTTCAAGCCCCATAACAGGCTCTCTGCTGTCAGCACAGAGCCCGCTTCAGATCCTCTGTCTCCCTCTCTCTCTGCCCCTCCCCCACCAGCACGCATGCTCTCTCTCAAAAATAAACATTTAAATAAGTAAGTGAATAAATAATCCATCTTTCATGACTTTGTTTTCTCCCCAAACACCACTCTCACTGTTTATAAGAGCTCCGTATGACTTACTGGATCAGGTTCAAAGTCTTTACCTGAGTGAGAGTCACGGTTCTTTTATTGCCAAATTTTATCTATACCACCACAGATGGCGACCTAACAGGAACTGTGCTTATGCGTGCCATCTCATTCAATCCTCCCAACAACTCTATAAGACAGATAATATTAATATCTCCATTTATATAATAATATGATATCCCCACAGATGAGAAAGCGGGGGCCAAAAGAAGTCCAAGATCATACAGCTAGGAAATGATGAAACAGGCACGACTTCAGAGCATGTGTTCTTTGGCACCACTGAGGTTCAGAGAAGCTCCCAGACAATGGTGGGTGGTGGAGCCAGTATGCGAAGCCGGCCCGATTTCAAAGTCTGCCGGCTCTGTACCACTCGGCTCTGCTGCCTCACACTCTCTGCTAGGCAGGGCCACTTGCTCACTGCCCTTGGAATACAGCACCGCCAAGAATCACATTGTTGGCCAACATCTACTGTCGATCTTCTTTCACCACCAACCCACGTTAGACAGCCTGTGTGAGGCCTTCCAGGCTGCTTCCGTGAGATCCCTGGCTAGGAAGGGTCACACCCTCCCTTCTCTTAACCCCCACCGTGCCCTATCTGTATCCCTCTCCCGACATTTACCAGTTCCCGCCCCGAATCACAGTTACACACGTGCTCCTTCGGGAGAGGCGGTGGTCTGAGCTGGCCTGGTGCCACCGATGACTGACACAGAACATGCATTGATTGAGTCAAGCAATGTGTCTTTTATGTGACTAAATTCATTTTTTAGATATTTTACGTATCTTATCTGCCCAGCTCAAGACAGTAAGCTCCTTAAGAACAAGGACCAAACCTTTTACTTATTTTATATTTTCAAGACTACTCAGCCCTGGGCCAGATAATACAGTCAAGTCGGTAAGATAAGCTGGAGTTCAAATGAAATGCTACTGGTACACAACTCTGGTATAATTTTTCCTACTACTTAAGCCCTGCAAGAATGCAGCATATATTAGTGGAGGATAACTGGGTTCGACACAAATGGATCCAAGCAACTCATTTTTTTGTAAATAGAAATAATAAATTTAATGTTTTTATTAGTGTTAGATAATAATCAAGAGAATTCCATGAGCACATTTTCCTGAAAATTTGTTCAAATTTCCATGGGGGACCAAAATCACAATTCTGTCTTTAAAAAATTGAGGCTAAAATATGCCTTCGTTATTCCTCTTTTAAAATGAAAGCATACTCTTTCCAAAAATCATAACATAAACCCAATGTCTCTCATAAGGAAAATGTGTATATTTTCATTCCGCATATCTATCATCTATTAAAGTCATTTATCTAGCCCAACAAATATACTTTTAATAGGAAGAAAAAAAAATCTCATCAATATTCTAACTCCTATCACATATCCAGAAAGCAAAGGTACAGAAAATCAGAATAAGTCTTTCAATAATATTTAAACCTCAGAAACTAGGTGTGTAAACTTTTAAGAATAAGATAATACAAAAACCCAATGCTGCCTCTCTTAATTCATTAATCATTTAATTGAATTACATACCCCGATTTTATACACCAGAGAAAAATACCAAGCCACAACATATTTTTAACAGACTGGGAGACACAGATTAAGAGTACGTGACAATAAAAACAAGTAGATAAAGATGATCGGATTTTTATGGCCTTTCAACAGTCATTTCTTCCCGTCCAAGCCTTATACTGTACCCACATGGTCTGACAGTAAATAGACAACAAAAGATCTGATGAGCTTGGCGATGCTCTAAATCTAAATCAATGTACTACCACTGAACAGACAGTGTAAACTTACCAGCTCCACAGATCCATAATGTTTCCTACTGAAATCCCCACGTCTACAGCCTAGGTCTTCCGAGACAGAGCTGGAACAAAAATGCTTCATCAGTATTATACATAGCGATCTGGCCACAAACCTTCTGCAAAAATCCACTACCATTTGCAAAAAGGGCTGCTATGGAACAGGCTCGCCCCAGCTCCTCACTGCAGGGGAGCCTCCTCGCCACAGACACAGTCCTCAGCAGCCATTGCAGTGCCCAGCTTCCTGGAGCCCTCAGTAAAAAGAAAAACACCCGAGTCATCCCTGCAAGTATAGGCAATGATTGAATTAAATATTTAGTCATTTGGAATCGATTGAAATTTCCAAGGCGACTGGTGGTTTGTAATTTCATTTCTGTATAACCAAAGGGGATGAGAAACCCTGCAGTAAACTTGAGGCCAGGGACAAAGCTTGCAATTATCTTTCGTTTAAGAGAGCCTCTTTGTCCCACATGTTCAATATAAAAATAACCAGCATTATTTGATGCTATATGGCAGAAATGAAACTTGAAATAGGAGGGAAAAACTTCAAAATCCTGGTAGGCCCCTCCCCACCACCCCCCCCACCCCGCTTTAATTTATGACAATATGACAATGTGAAAAAAAGAGAGCAGCCCTGACAGAAAAATCTAAAAACCTAACTTCAAGGATATTCAGTTTTTATATAACAGTAGCTAATGCCTCTCCCACCCCCCACCCCCAGGAGGCTTAAATCAGATAAGAAAAATCACATGCACTGTGGAGAAGAGCAATTAAAACACGGGTGAAACTCTTACTGCATTTACATCTTGAATGTATAGTTACACACTCAAAAGATACATATCTTATCCACGAGGTAGTATATTTAGGACCCCAAGCAGTGCTCCTGAAACCACCGGAGATTCACAAATGCAAGCAGCTTTAACAAGTCTTGTCCTCAGAGGTCATGCAAATAACTCCTACTGAAACGTAGAAAACAGAACTGCACGGGAGCTCCATGTTTGATATATCCAAAAATGTTTGGGCTCTAACATGCAGAGAAAGGTGAATTTTGTACCTTTTCATCCTTCCTTAAAAGGTGGCTACATTTTCTACATTACAGCCTCCTTGGCACGCTCAGGAAGAGACTGACTCTGCTGTTTAGCATCCACGGACCTGACTCTTTGCCAGGACACTATTTGATAGGCTCCAAGCAAGACAGCATGAGAGAAATGAGATTAGAGGGTCTAATGGTATTCTGCTTCCACCATTTCACAGAGATGGCTGAATTAATCTTATATGAGAAATTTAACCTTTTGTAGTCTCCACTTCCTTAGCAGAAAATGTGCAACAAATTAATGACTGCAGCTTGGAAGAGTGTCCGAGATATTACCCAGGCAACCGTCCTGCTTTCGGTGACAGGATTTTCTGTACCCCCCACCCCCCACCCCCAAATCCCCGAAAGAGATTTAAAACTTCTGGTCTGTATTAAATATGTCCTCTATGTCCATTTTCAAAACCCTCCTGGAGAATCTGCCATTGCCCTACATAACAGTTTCAGGATCCTTCCCCGGTGGCCCCGCGTAACCGAGAGAGGGGGCTCCAGTGACAGGAGTGTCTAAGCACCAGCTAGAGATCAGGCAGAGAGTGGACGCCCAGTGGCTGATGACTGAAAGCTCTGTCTGCCTGGCTCGGCCCACCTCTTCAGTTTTAGTGGGGCCACCAGCCCACTATCAATAGCAGCAGTTTCTAACACGAACGGCCAATATCATGAAAAGAACAAACATGCTGGGCTCTGGGCCCCTCCCCAGGCTGCTCTCAGCACCACCGAGGGTGTTCTAAGACACAGTGCCAGCTCCCTAACTTTGCCAACAGCCAGAAAGTAACTCAACAAAGATGACAGGTCTGTGTCCTGGGGCAATCACATCCTCAGAAGCTTCATAGTGGGAAAGCAGTGTCCTATGAAAACAACCAGGAGAGAGATAAACAGAACATCTGCTATCGGTTGTCCTTTTCCCCCTCTAATTACATCTCCCCCAATACACTGCAGAGACAGTGCCAACTGATGGTGGGAGCCAGGCTGAACTATATGGGGTGCACTTCTGCGGCCTCAGGAGGCACTCAAACCGCCTTGTTATGAAACCCTCCTGGCTCCCCTACGCCGTCCCCAGGCTCTCTGGCCCCTTCGGACCCAGCACAGGAGATGTGATTGAAGAGGTCACCCGGAGCTCCAAGAGGAACTTTGTTCTCCTACAGGTCCCCGCGCCTGGCCTACTGCTCGGCACAGAGTGGACATGCGGGACATGTTTGTTGTATTAGTGGAGATCTTCGCACACCGTTTGGATCTAACTAGCTAATGCCTGAGAGCACCCCTCGTGGGCACGAAGGCTGACATTCTCTCATAAGCCAATGGTCATTGTTCCATCCGTCCAGACAGCTCTGGCCCAGGAAGCAGACACTGCTATGTGCATGCCAAACCTTAATCTGTTTTCCTCTTGGGCTTGTCACTAGACTACGTGTCCCAAGCCCCTCTTGCAGTGTGACTGCATGACTGGGCTCTGGCAAAGAGGATATGGGCACCACTTCCAGGCACATCCCATGGGACGTCTTACTTTCCTTCCCCTTGGCCAGCAGGGTGAGGAGGGCTGCAAGGACCCCCAGGAGGGCAGAGCGTCAAGAGGAAAAACACCTGGGTCTCTGAAAGACGAAGCAGAAGGCCACACCTCCAAGAGCCTCCGTATTAGAATATGATGTGAGCAAGAACTAAACACTGAGTGTGTTCATCCCTTAGAATTTAGGTTTACCCGTTAAAGCTGCGGTGTCACCCAAAGTCATATGGAAGTAGGTATCTTGCAAGTGGGGTGCTCCCATAGCAACAACCTACTATCTGTGGCACCGGCCTGGTAGGCAGGCAGCTGCCAGTATGGAAACTGATCTCAGAGGCTGGGAAAATGGAGATCTACATAACAAGGTGGCAAAATATGGGATGAAACTTACACCCGCGGTAATGTAGAAGGCGGACCTGCAGCCCTAGGGAAAGTGGCTGGACAGAGCAGTGATGCTGTGCATGGCTGCCACTGGCCGACCTTAGCAAGGTTTTTTACAAAGAAGAGACGAACCCGGGCAAGAGCCAGATGGATTTCACACACAAGAAGCAAAGAGAGAGCGTCTAGAGACCAAGGGCTTCACAGGCTTTGAGAATTCATGGGTTTTGGACTCCAGACAGTAAGAGTTCTGGCCAATGCAGTGTGGGTAGAAATGATGGATACCTCTTCCACGGATAGTCCTTGCTCTCTTTCCTCATCCACCGGTTGAATGGAGAGGGCAATGAAGACCAAGCGGGGGGTGAAGCCACAACATGAAGGAGGCTTGGTGACCACAGAGAAGATCCCACATGATGTGAGTGAAAAATAACTTTTCTTATTTTATGGCACTAAGACTCAGAGTTTATTACAACAGGTGATTTACCTTAACAGATAAAGCTCTCCACAGGTAACAGACAGGGGAAGGGTAACTCCCACAAAAAGGGGCTGTCAGAGGGCTGGTGGGCCAGGATGACTCTCCGGGGTGAGCAAACGGTGGCCCCCCAACTGCCTGTTACTGTGAACAAAGTTTTATTCGCACACAGCCGCGCCCTCTGGATACAGGTAGTCTGCAACGGCTTTGGCATCACAAAGACCGAGCTGAGTACCTGCAACAGAGACTGCATGGGCCACAAAGCTCAAGCTATTTACTACCTGGCCCTTTTACAGAGTAAGTTTGCCCGGCCACTGCCATGCAGCCTCACAGATCCTTTTTGTTGGTTTCAGGCCTACCCATAAACTGTGATTAATAAGCCAAAGGAAATACTCAAGTCCACCAGAATCCCTGGGGGAAGCTTTCTAAAAATGCAGGTTCCCTGGCCCTATTCCCAGAGGCTGTGATTCAGCACGTCTGCGACTCTAACAAGCAGCCGGGAGAATTCTGATACAGGTGGTCCACAGACAGTGTTTTGAAAAATACTGCTCTTCCAGACGACTCTGGAATCCCTGGGAAACCCGTTCACCATTATGCAGCACTTTTATAAGGAAGGACAAGGCCTTGTTTGTTTTCTACTAATGGGAGGACATACGGGTGATACGGTCCTTAGGGGCAGGTGCTTCAGTCACAGATATAAGTCCTTAACCTCTCTGGGCAATAGTTCCCTCCTGGATAAAATGTGGTTGTTGCTATCGCCTACTTAACAGGGTTAGAAAGAATAAATTAGAATAAAACTTTATTTTAAGCACAAGGACTGTCACATAAAAACTACTCAATTAGTGTTAGCTATTATTACTGCTCTTATTAGTAGTATCAATTCTTAGGTTGTTAGAGCCCTGGGACATTTGCCATAAATGATTACACGCTTTTTCCAGAGTTTTAAATAAGACCCCTCCCCCGCCAACCTTGCAGAAGAGGAGGCTTGGGGCCAAGCAGTAGGCCTCCCAGGGCAAGGCTAAGTATAGCATCACAGCTCAGCATGACATCTCCTCCCTAAAAGGGTTGCCCTAGCAGTGCGACCTCACCTAGAAAATACTTAGGACCCAAGAACATGTCACCAGCACAAGGCAGGTGCAAAAAAGAACCAAAGAGTTCAAGTTCTTCACATGCAGTGTGGTCTGGGCTCTAAATAAACTGTTTTAGCAAAACTAATGTGTGAGGATGCCGGATCATGCTTTGCAAGCGTGTACAGAGCTGAGGACCTTCATGTCACGTCTCTAAATAAGGCCAGGGATGGGAGCACAGATTTCCAGCCCCACAAAGAGGCTAGAAAAATTACCATTATATAAGTCAGGTTCTCGGAAGGCAGGACAACCCCCTCCAAAGAGTCAAACTAAATAAGGAAAGAAAAGAAGCTGACACTCAATGATACAGGTTCTTACTCGACTGACCTGGAGCTTAGTGACTCACATTAACGACAGGCCAGACCCCACCAATCCAGGCCTCAGTCATTTCTAGCCCTGCTGGAATAGTTAAAGCCAGCACGGGGACTCTTCCTGGATCAGCAGAGAGAATTTGTGAAAGGCAACAGGCAGTTTTTCAGAAGCCTACTGATGGCAGAGTTCAATGTCAGGAGCTCCAGGACAATGCCTCAGCCCCCTTGATAAGCAGACAGTAATAGACAGATGGAAGAGATTCCCCTAT